AAATTTCTATTTTTTTTTTTTTTTTTTTTTTTTTTGTACCAGGGATCAAACTATGGACCTTGCGCTTGCCAGGCAGGCCACCGAACCGCTGAGCTAAATCCCTGGCCCCATTTTTATTTTTAAAATTAATTTCTTTATTTTTGGTACCGGGGATCGAACTGGGGACCTTGCACTTGTGAGGCAGGTGCCAGGCAGAACCACTGAGCTAAATCCCCGGCCCTTTCTTCAGTTCTTTATATGTTCTAGATATTAGTCCTCTGAGGTAAAACTGGCAGTTTTTTTTTCCCATTTCGTAGGTTGTCTTTCATTCTGCTGGTTGCTTCTTTGGCTGTGCATAAGCTTTTTAATTTTATATGATCCCATTTGTTGATTCTCAGTACTGGTTCCTGTGCAGCTGATGTTCTATTCAGAAATTCCTTTCCTACTCCTATGACTTCAATGGCTAGGACTTTAATACCATCTGAAACTTCAGCTCCAAGCTATAGCAAAAGCACATACTTTGAAATGACAAATACTCAAGAATGTGACCCACTCCTGTCCCTTCTCTCAACAGCCGGGGAGACTAAAACCTTTTGTGCAGAAACAAGAACATCCAAAGGCAGTGAGGGCTTTGCTAGTTGTCCCTGGCAGAGTGGACAGCACTGTCTATCTTTTTTTTTTTTTTTTTTTTGGGTTTATTGTTACATTTAGGGATACAGTACAGTTACATTCATTGTTGGGATCATGTACCTTTACATGGCAAGTCTTGATTCTCATTTTTTTTTTTTTTACCCCTTACCTCTGCCCTCCCTTCACCCCCTAGCACTGTCTATCTTTGTGGCTGGTGATAGAGAGATCACTGAGCTTGTAGGAGTCTCCAGTCATTTCTGGACAGGAGGAGCAAGAATCAAAGCTCAGCCACTTTCCTCCCCCAGACGCCTCTTGGATAGTCAGCCACTTTGGAGCCTGACCCAAAAGCCATCTGACAACAAGGCCTGGGCTGTGGGACATTGGCAGAGATGTTCCAGGCTGTGAGCCTGGGCTGATCCTTGCACTTGACTGTGGAGGACCATGAGTGGGACCCTCCAGGCCTCAGTTTTTCTGTTTGTAATGGAGGCTTAGTCCAGAAGCTTTGTGAGGGGACTTGGAGCTTAAATGGCCTCTGTTTCCATGCGTATTGGGTTTGGAAACCACCCTGACACCCCAGGATTTCCTTCAGGACTATGGTCGCGGACACAAGCACACATTCACCTTTGAATTCATTGACACTGCTTAGGAATTCAGCTTTCTCTGAAGTTTGGGGTTCCAGAAGCTTATTACACTCTTCCAAGGTTGTGCTTCTTCACAAAGGTGTCCTCATGCCAGGATTGGGGAGCGGCCACACACACCCCTGGGAGCCAGGGGAGGGGATGGGAGGTGAGCTTTGGGCAGACAGAGCCAGCTGAATCCTAGCTCTGCCCCTTCCCTGCTATGTGCATGTTGCTTAACCCCTCATCCTTGGCTTTCTCATCTACGACACAGAAATAAGGGTCCCCTCTCGTCAGTGTCACTGTGCTGCTGTCTCTGGAGTTTCTGAGTCAGGGATCTCATGCAGCAGTGCCCCCTGTTAGCAAGGGAGGATTCAGTGAGCCCCCTTAAAGGACTTCACAAAAACCTGGGTGTGCAAGTGTCAGGGTGGAGGAGGCAGCAATGATACATGTTCCCTTGGAAGCTCAAGTTGGCAGTCGTTCCAGAGGCCGAGCAGCAGGGACAGGAAGTGCAGGCCTCATCCTGCAGATCAGGGTCTGGGCAGGTTGGAGCTGCTTAGAGGGGTGTGTGTGTGTGTGTGTGTGTGTGTGTGTGTGTGTATGCTCAATTCAAAGACCTAAGGCTCAGAAATGGGGGAGAGCAGTCTCCTGTTGGAATCTGGCTTTCCAGATGGCCCATTTGGTGTCCAGAGAAGCTGAGGCCTAGAGCGGCTGGGACAGCCTCACCCTGGAGGCCTCCACCACTGCTGATGGTTTTGCCCAGCAGGACAAAATTCCTACCTTAGAAAGGTCCACCTGCTAATTCACATAAAGAGGCAATCAGAAAAATGAGGTCTCCTGACAATTTATGGAAAGCTTTCACACCTCTGTGTCCTATACCTGTCACACACCAGGGGCGGGGCCCTGTGGGTTGGAACAGGTCCTGGCACCAACCAGTATCTTTTAAGTAACTGACTTATGGCACTGACTCACTCATTTAAATATAGCTAGAACTCTGGTCTATTTTCCTAAAAAAAAAAAAAAAAGCCCTAACTTTTCTCACGTCAGCTTCATGTTGTGTACAAGCTGGAGAAGGACATAGACAGTAGCCAGGGATCAAGTCCTCCAGTGTATGGCTGGCTGGAAATTACAGAACGGTAAATTGCAAGCAGGAGATTAAGGGACCGGTTTGTCTCCCACTCAGAGCAGATGCTGGGGGAGAAAGGACAGTTACCCACGTGTGACCCAAATGGATCCGGGACGGTACCACATAATGCAAGATCACCAGCCACTTTCCATGGAATCAGCCAGTGCCAGCCACCTACCGGCTCTGGCTCACAGATCAATTCATTCCTTTATTCTCTCATTCATTTATTCAATGCCAAGCCTCCACTTCGGATGCAGAGAACCAGGCCCTTCGCCTGAGGACTTAGAAGGCTCCAGCAATCCTGTCATTTCACCTCTTTCCAGAAGGTGGCAGCACACGAGCTGAGAGAGCCTCAAGAGGGGACCTAAGGGGGTGTGCGGGGTGCGGGGTGGGGGTGGGTGTGTGTGGAGCAGTTTGGGGACAACTTGGAGAAAAAGTGCTGGCCATTTTTCCAGAAGGGTCCTACTCACCGTCTGGCAGAGCGAGCAGGTAGCTGAACCCCCACATGATTTCTCACTGTCTCTTTGTCCTGGTGAATTGGCAAGATCAGTAATGAATAAGAGAAAGCACTGGCTTAAAGCTAGGGCTGCTGCTGGACCTCAGGAAGGGATGGGAAGCAGGAGCTTCTCATTTTCACGGCTTTCACGGTGACTCATTCTTGTCTCCTCTGTAGACAGGGCCACCCCGTCCCTCAGAATGTGAAGTGCAGCCACAGCAGGTGGGAAGGTACTGTTCTAGGCCCAGCCAGCCAGAGAGGCTTCTGGATCCAGGGAAAGGGACAGCTTGGCTCTAGCACCCAGGACTTACCCTGGCAGTGGCGAATGATCACAACTGAGGATGGGGAGCCCTCTCCAGGAGAGAGCTGGTGGAGGGAGTTTGGGTTTGCAGGCCAGACACCCAGAGGCTGTTCTGCAACCTTCTGTGGACCTGGTTACCAGTGGAGGGACGAACGCCAGGGCGGCGAGAAGGCTTGGGTCTCGCTGTGGACGGTGATACTGGAGACCTTCCCTGCCCCCTGGCACTCACCTGCCTCCTGTACTCAGCTTGAACCCACCTTGAACTCTTCCCAACACCCATGGCAATCGGTAGGTGAATTCCCCAGGCAAAGGAACAAATCTTAAGGGGACCTGACAGACACTGACTTCCCAATCTCCCCACAGGCAGGGGCCCCAGTCCCCGCAGCTGCAGAGACCTATTTGATGACAGACTGAGGCTTCTCTCTTCTCCTAGGGTCACCTGGACCATGGGCTGCTCTGTGGGCAAACCCTTGCCTCTGCATCTGTTTTTGGGAACCCAGCCCCCAGCCAGGCCCCTGTAATCTTCCTTCCTTCCTTCCTTCCTCTTTCTTTCTCTCTCTCTCTCTCTTAGATCTTTCTTTCTTTCTTTCAACAGAATCTTGCTATGTAGTCTAGGCTGGCCTCGAACTCGAAGAAATCCTCCTATTCAGCTTCCAAGTGCTGGGATTACAAGCATGGGCCACCCTGCCCAGCCACCCCTGTAATCTTAACAATTGAGCTGTGAAGAAAGATAAAAGTGTACATGTTTCTATTCAATTCTATCTTTTCTGTAAAAATAGAGCTCTTTATTTAATGGTTTAGGGTAATATACCCTCAAACATTAAAGTATTATTTAAATATGATATAAACAGAACAAAATAAAACAGAATAAAGTATGTAAGAACAATAGAGTCTTGTCCGCACACTAAGAACCACACATCCCTTTAACCTCAGGAATGACTCACTTCCCCCCTCCATGCCCTTGAGTGTGGCCCCACCCACAAAACTGTCCCCAGCAGCTCTGTTCCCGGTGGAGCTTTGTAAACAGGTAGGTGCTGACCCACGACATACCTTTTTATTGCATGTCCCTCCCTCATGCTTCCCACAGTGTTTTTTTTTGGGAGGGTGGGTACCAGGGATTGAACTTGGGACCTTGTGCTTGCCAGGCAGACAGCAGAACCACTGAGCTAAATCCCCGGCCCTCCCACAGTGTCTTGTAAATGACCTAATGACTGCAAGGAGCTGGAATTTGGAATTACTAAAAAGCTCAGGCTCTTTCAGACATTAAACTTCGGAAAAAAATTTCCCTTAAAAACTAACAAAATTGGATATTAGAGATAAAATATTTCATTCAAGCCTAAGAGAACACTGTCATGATGAAAACTTCATTTTCTGAAAGTTCGTTTTGCAAAGCAGCTCAGCTTGTCCCAGAAGTGATGGCAGCCTTGGTCTGGGTATTTCCTGGGGACCCAGCCTGAGCGACAGCCCTTCCCAAGCACCATCACTTCGGTTTGCTCTTCTTCCTTTGTGCTCAACAATGTGGACAGATGTAGCACAGAAAAGAGCCCTGGGAAGATGTGCGCACGTGTGTGCGTGTGTGTGTGTGCACACGCAGCTATATGCACGAGCAAGCGTGTGCCCCAGCAGTGATAACAAAGGCCTCCTGTCAGCTTAGTGACTCTTGGAAATCCTGGCTGAGACCTACAGACTTTGTTGACATAGCCACAGGGTCAAGGGTTAGCTCAGCTGGGCGAGATCCGAGCTCTCAGCCTTGGGGACACGCAGTAAGCCACTGGGACAACATTGCCGCGTGACCTGGGCAGGTCCTTTTGCCACTCTGACCTCCGCCTGTTAGCCTGAAACAAGATAGGTGTTCATTAAAAAAGTGGTGCACAAACTTTTCTTTGGCAGTGGGACCCCCTGACAGACCTCACCTGCAAAGCCACAGTACACAGACCAGGCAAGGTGAGGCTGCTCTGGCTGGACTCGCAGGCGCCCGAGCCCCTCACCCCACAGCCAAGACCCAAGGCCTTTGGGGACAGGGTGTGAGAACCTCTGGAGTGGAGGCTGTGGAGAAACCTCTCAGGTATGCCTGTGGCCCTGCATCTCGTGATGGCTTCAGAACAACATAGCCCTGCGGTCAAGTGGCAGTGAAGGTCTTTCCTTTTTCTTTTCTTTTTTTTTTTTTTGGTAACAGGGATCGAATTTGGGACCTTGCGCTTGTGAAGCAGGCTGTGAAGCCACTGAGCTAAATCCCCAGCCCTGTGAAGGTCTTTTCTACACAACAGAGTGAAGTCATTGAGGGCTAAGTGGCAGGGCCTGGGGAACAGAGACAAGAAGGGGTACAAACAAGCCAAGAGAAGAGCAGGAGGGCCCAGGTGCCTTTGGTTGAGGCCTTGGCTTCTGAGAACTCAGTGCCTTGGCTAGGAGCTCGGTGGCGGCAGAAAGGCAGGTGCTCCTGGTTACTCTAGAGTCAGGGTCACAGGTGGGAATGCCTAGGGTCTCCTTGAAGCCTGGGAGATGGAGACTCCTGCCAGCCACATGTGGACAGCATCAATGCCGTGGCAGGCCCCGTACCACACACACCCGAGATCTCCCTGCATCCTACCACACTTGGGTAGTAGCTGGAGATGAGGAAACTGAGGTACAGAGAATGACAGCAGCTTAACCAAGCCACACAACTGGCAAATGGCAGAGCTGGGATTTGAACCCAGGTCTGTCTGGTATTAAAAGCAGCAATGCTATGGCTTCAATGACCAGGAGCTGAGGGGTGCTCCGCTTTCCCTTCCCCACAACTCCGTCTGCCAACTGCTCACCCCAGGGGACCCAATCACTCAGTCAGAAGGTTGAGGCTTGGGAGAGCAGGAGCTTGGCAGGTGCTGGGAAAGACAGCGATATACTCAGATGTGCCTCTAACGGGGCCAGCTCTCCCCAGTTCTAGACGGGCCCTTGGGTGTCAGTCTGCAGTGGCCACAATGACCTGGCCTCACTTGGTTCATGTTGTCTAGGTGATCCTGAAGTGCCACAGGAACCTTCAGCAGCCTCAGTGGGGAACATGGCTCTCGAGCTTAGGTGGTGTTCTGGATCCTCAAGGACAGCTGCAGCCGCTCACCTGGCCATGTAAGATCCCAGCGTCCCATTCCTGACCTCGGTCCTCAGGGGGCTCTCGGCCTGCCAGCTGCAGCTGCTGCTGTCCTTAGATCTGGATTCCCTCTCACCCTGCTCCTCCTCCTCCTCCTCCTCCTCCTCCTCCTCCTCAGGCCTGCTGTCCCAGCAGAAGGTCAGTGTCTGAAGAGAAACTAGGGGCTCCCTAGTGACCAGACTCCATCCTGGGGACAAGGATCTCCAGCTGGCCCACGAGGAGAGGTCATCCTTCAGGGGCTCTCTTGGGGTACCTGAGTCCTCAGAGGATTCTGGGCATGGGAGTGGCTCCTGATGATTGTCGTCATCTGGCCCTTGGCCCAGCCCCTTCTTGGCCAAGTAGCTGGAAGACTCTGCCTCGTCCCACAGCAAGGAGTCCTTGGTGCTGGGCCAGCTCTTGTCTGAAGAACCCCAGGCAGAGGAGCCTTCACTCTGGCCCACAGGTGTCCAGGGACCTGCTGAGTCCACCCCAGACTCATCTGCTTCAGACAACCCTGGAGGCTGGAGCTCCTGCCTCAGGAAGGAGGGATGCTCCATGTAGGGCTGGACGCTGACCCTGTCATCTGTGTCCTCCTCTTCCTTGTCCTCAGCACTGTCCTCTGATCCCGACTGTAGGGTGACTGGAGCCCTGACCGGAGGGGCCAGCCTGGCCCTTCCGGTCAGTTTCTTTTGGGGACAGGGGAATAACTCATCCAAGGACTCTGGTCCACTGGGCTGAAAGGCTGCCACAGGGTGTCCGCATCCCGAAAAGTCCTGATTTGGGGAGGAAAGAGAAGGGAGACAACTCAGGCTTCCTGACTGTTGGAATCTGGGGTCCCGTTAGAACAGGCCTGAGATATGAGTTTGAGAATCTCGTATCTTTAGGAGGTGTCCCAGGGAACAGGAGTCAGGCAGTGGACAGCCCACCCAGCAGGGCGTGTTACCAACCACAATGCCACAAGGGCAGCTGGACCCTGATCCTGTGCCCTGAGGGCACCTTGGGGCTGCCTGCTGGGGGCACCTGGGGTACTTATCCACCAGCCCCCTTCTAAGGGGTGGTGCTAATTCCCTGCCCTGTGCATGGAATCTGTCCTCAAAGCCCTCACTCCTGTCTGAGCACACATGACCCTCTGTCCTTGCAGGCTGCCCCCAGCCCCGGTGGCCCCCAGTTTTGGGGGGAGGGAAGCAGTCCCTACAGTTGGCCCGTGTGAGGCCTGTCCTTGGTGAAGATGGTGAACTGAGTGGTAGGCCCTCCCGAAACTTCCTCTGACCGTCCACCCTCTCCCCCTGCCCTCTGGCTACCTCTCCTGGGTCCCAAGGCAGGGGCTGTATTCCAGGCACCTGATACACCTTCAGCAGGGGTGATGAGAGCTAACTAACAGGGACTGGAGGCACTTTTCCCTCCTGGACAGCTTGGGTGTTTCACTCGGTGCATTACTAGTGATAGACACAAAGCTAGAAGGCGTTGAGACTCAGCCATACCGATATTCTGCCTAAACTCCAGCCCGCCCAGCCCTGCACGTGCCCAGACTTGCCGTACCAGGGCCCTCGGTGTCTTTGCCCCATGGAACCACGGGTTGTCCCTCAGGTTGTTCCATGTCACACCCACTATGACAACGACCAACAACAGTGGCGGGAATGAGTACAGCACCAGGTCTGTCCATTTGGCCCCTAGGGAGAAAAACAACACTGACTACAGACACAAGGAGGACGCCAGCCTAGTAGCGCACAGAGTGCTCGCGGGCTCCGTCCTGGTTGGGCCTCATAAGAACAAGCCCATCCTACAGACTGTGCAGACCGAGGCTGCCCAGACACACAGTGAGTGTGGCAGACCTGGGGTTTTCATCTGGGAGTCTGTCTCGTACTTCTAACAGCACAGCACACGGCTTCCCTGAGGAGCCAGTCTGTACCCACCTGGGGCCCCCAGGGAGAGGCAGTGGGGTTCTGAGAAGCTGCTGTACTTGGGGGAGATGAGGGTGTAGATGGTTCTGGCGCTGAGGCAGTGGTGTCCGTGGGCCGAAGGCTGGAGTGGGATCTGGATGGGCTGGCCGTGGGCAGTGGCTGGAAATAGGGTCTGCTTGACAGAAAGAAGCAGAGGTGAACAGAGCTTCTGGGGTCCCCACTCTGTACAGCCAGGCACCAATACACAGTCAACAGGCCAGAGGGGGCCCCTGAACCTCTTTTTCTTTTCCTAGAGGTCAAGTGTTGAGGGTGCATTTTCTTTTAGGCTGAAAGCGGGGGTTGGAAAGCAGCCCACTACTTGGGGTCACTCCTGTATGCTCCACAACAGGGACTGTGGGTCCCCACTTGGAGGAGAAGATTCCTCAGGCTTCCCACACTTGGGCCTCCAAGTCCCTTGGGGGTGGGGGTCACTCAGACTCAGAAAACTGTGGGCAGTGGTCACAGGCAGTCACCAAGCCCTTCCAATGTAGCTGGTCCAAGCCAGGCATGGTGGCACATGCCTGTCATTTCAGCACTCTGGGGACTGAGTCAGGAGGATCACAAGATCGAACCCAGCCTGAGAAACTAGTTACTTAGCAACACCCTGTCTCAAAAAAAAAAAAAAAAA